GTTTCTTAGTATAACTAGGGTTTCTTAGTATAACAAGAAAGAGGTCTCTAAACCCTCTTTCTGAGGTCTGGGTGTGGCATACTTCTGCAAGTAATACTAGCAGTGTAGTTGTGTTTTGCCGGAAAGAGGCATCTCTCTTATATCTCCTATAAGAGGTTAAAGTGGTAACTGAGCAACAGATACTGGGTTAATGTGTGATGTACATTCTCACAAGGGACATGGTCCTACCTCCTTAAGATAGTGTGTATATCACACATCTTATCACCCCACCCAACCCTACCCCCTTAGGGTCAGAGTAGGCTCTAGTGGAACGAACATCAAGGATGCTACATCTGGGAAACTAGACAGTAGGTTGAGAACTATATCAAGCTGGGCCCCACCAGGAAAATAGAATCCATTCAAAGCATTTAACACAGGGGAAAATTTACTGGGAGTTTTTTGCATAGGTGATGGGTAAATAAGATGACAAATGGGATAGTGGGACACCCTAGATTTTAGTAACAGTAGGAAACCCCTAATAAGCCTTGGATGTTAAAGACAGAGCCTGTATTAACAAATTCCATGGGCCAGATCATACCCAGGAAACTGAAAACAGTGAGTCTGTCTCACTCTCTGTCAGGAGTGGAAAATGCAGAGGGACACAGCTAGAGGCACCACACAGGTAGGAAAGACAGGAGAAACACCCTGGCTTCTCCCTTTCTCCCACCCTCCGCATCAATGTGAGGTGCTATAACAAGATCCACAGACTGGTTGGCTTTCAAAAAAATTCATTCTCACAGTTCTGCAGGCTGGGAAATTAAACCTCTTGGTGTTGGCCTATTTGGATATTGGTGAGAGCTCTTTTCTTGGTTTCCTTCTTGCTGTTTCCTCACACGGCAGAGAGAAAGCTCATCTCTGTCCTGCTTTTTTCATAAGGACCCTAATTCTACTCAACTGGGCTCCATACTCATGACAATTGCCTCCCAAAAACCCTGCCTCCAAATAATATCGCATTGAGGATTAGGGCTTCTATATATGAACTTGGGAGGAAACAAACATTCTGTCCATAGTACTCTAGGATCCTGGAAGGGCCTCCTAATGGCTGAAAATCATTGGAAACCAGCTGACATACCAGCTGTTCCCAGCCTGGGAACAGTCTATGGGATCAGCCCAGAACAGGGGAAGAAGAGGAATGGAGTGGAGAGAAAATGGACCAAACACTAGCATAAGGCCTTAAAGGAAGGATTTATTTATCATTTATCATCATGAATGCCAAGGAAAAACAACAACAAAAAATCAGATGGCCTGGTTGAAAAGCTATTATCTTTCATGCTTCCCAACGTTGGTTGCACATTAGAAAGTTTTTAAAATATACTGTCACACTGCACCCCAGACCACTTACACTGGAATCTCTCGGGGTGGGACACAAGCACAAGTGTTTTGTTTTGTTTTGTTTTTAAACTACAACATGCAGTGAAAGTTAAGAAAAACTACTTTAGAAAAAGATTTTTGGCAGATAATATTTTATGTATCTTAGTATTGGTAATTACGATATCAGAGAGCATCATTTTTCTATTGGCCTTGTATTATAGTAGGAAACTGGAGCAAGAGAAGGAAGGAGACAATCAGGACAGACAAGGAAACTTCATGAACAGGTTTGTTTTTATGGTGACTATAACATTTTAGAAAGATGTCTGAAAGGAGAGCAAAATATTGAGCTGGCAGTCATAATCAGAGCAATTCAAGTGAAGAGTCTGACTAAAGGAAATAAAATCATTGGTGTTAGGTGGTAGAAATAAGAGAGGTTAAGCTAATAAGTCCAAGAGAAATTAGACCAGCTGCACACTGAAGAGACAGCCACAAAACAAGAAAAGAAGCAGAACTGGAGAAAAGATTGCATCCTTTTGACTGTAAATACAAGAGGACCCAAAAGTATATTAGAAAACCTAGAGGTGGGGTGCCATCAATAGACAATGTTTGTGCTGCTTCTGGCTGCCCTGGGGAACAGGAACCCCTTTCTCATTCTAATGACAGCATAATGAGGAAAAACACATGCAATAGGGTTACAAATAATTAGAGGCAGATTGAGACTTGGTCCAGGGAGCTTTCTTGGAGAAAGGCTAGGTAGGAATTGGGGTGGGATTTATGTGAGAGGTTGTAAGAAAATGGATTTAATTTATGTGTTAAAGCAGAAGCTGAAGCCTCTGTAGAGTATCTGGAAATCAGGAATTAACAGGAGGCTGCTTCTCCAAGTTGTCTCTTGATGCACTGGGCAAGTTTACCTGGGAATGCAGAATCCAGACAGCCCAGGCTTGGTGGCTCTCCACTCAGAAAGTGGAAACATTGATGTTTGATGTAAGAGGAAAAAATCATAATTTACAAAATCACACTGCTTCTTAGAAAGATGTAAATGCCAATTTTTGTTTTGTTTTTACTCAGTTGTTCTGCCTCTCTAGATGCTGAAAAATTCTAGTTTTGTACTTAATATTTTAACTTTTTTCAATGATTTTATTTATTTATTTCTAGACAGAGGGGAAGGAAGGGAGAAAGAGAGGGAGAAAAACATTGATATGTCAGAGAAATATTGATTGATTGCCTCTGTCACACACTCCAGCTGGGGACTGGGCCCACAACTCGGACATGTGCCCTGACTGGGAATCAAACCAGCAACCTTTGGCTTTGTGGGAAGACACTCAACCAACTGAGCCACACTGGTCAGGGCTCACATTTTAGCATTTAAAAAAATATTGTAAAGGGATTATCTTCACAAACTATTTTTGATATTTAAAGGTACTTTTTAGTACTTTTTTTCATATGTTAGGACAGAAATTTAAATATAATATTTTAATTTTTAAAGGTTTTTTTTTCAGTGACTAAAGCAGAAATTGAAATGCTTAATGTTTTAGAGCAATGTTGCTCAGACTTTCCTGTGCACAATAATAACCTGGGAATCTTGTTATAGATTCTGCTGGTCTGAGCTGAGGCCTAAGATTCTGCATTTCTAACTAGCTCTCAGGCAATTCCACTGCTGCTCCTCTAAGGACCTCACTTTGAGAGGCAAGATTTCAATTCATTAATAGCAGTTATCAGGAAATACAAATGGTAATTTGGTAGTGAAATGTTAACCAAATATAATATTCTTGTTTCATGAACTTTTTTTCACTTATGGAAACATTTTTGTCATATTTTCCTTTTGTAAATTACACAGTAATGAATTGTTATAAAAATTCATTAATTATAGATATGGGGAATAAAAGAAAAGTCCATCTTTATTCTCTACCCTTCTCCTCCCTCAGTCTCTTTCTTTTGTAGATAATAAATAATTTGGTATAATGAATTCTCTGTATATGTAAATAAAAATAAATGGGAAGAGTATAATGAATATGTTAGTATTTATTGAGGACTTTTACAATGTCACAGTTGTGCTATGTAATAAATTTACCTGCAAATTCAATAGTTTACACAACAGTAAGCACTTTCTCCTCATGCTTGGGGTCTCATCTAAAATAGGCTTGGCTGAGCAGCTCTGCTTCAGGTTCTCTGTCCCAAAACGGAGACACCTGTCTGGATCTGGGTTCAAGTTGGCTCCACATTTCATTCTGGAGCCTAAGCTAAAGCTGAAGAAGAACAGTTACTTGGGATGTGTCCTCTTCATAGAGGATCACAATTGCCAAGAAGACAAGTGTAACATTCAGGTTAATGTGATGTCTGCTAACTTTGTTTAAACAAGTCACATGGTCAAGCCTGGAATCCAAGCTGTTCACTCAGTCTACCCTAATGTCATGGCAGAAGGGTGTATTTATAATTTCATTAGGAGAAAATGAAGAATTGTGAGTTTTTAATCTATGAAGCCACCGAGACTATTTTCTTTCTAGATTCTCTTCTATGCTCTGTTCAGCCTTCTGTCCCCTGTGAAATCAACTTCATTTAAGTCAAATTTTCATAAATTGTCATTGTCCTTCCATCAGAAAACACTGGGTGGGAAAAAAGAGGGTCACAACCCTTCTCTCTTTGAGTGACTCCACCTCAGTGACAGTCCAAAGCAATGACTAATGCCAGAAAATCAAAAAATCCCCAATGGTTTCCATGTGTTCATGCAGGAACAGAGCAGAGCAGGTTATTTAACACAGTTTGGTGAGGGCCTTTGTTTGTAGGGTAGAGCAATAAGCATGTCGGTTTCTTTCCTAATTTGTTCTTCAGCCACAGCCAATAGGATTTTCATTAACGCCATTTTGAAGTTTTTGTCTGCAAACTTTAATAAATAATCTCAGTTTCAAAGCTATTTTAGTTGCCTCTAACTCTTTACTAATTAAATATTCTTCTTTCCACCTAGATACCAGAAGGAGGTTTTTGCTATTGTTTTTCTCCGTGTTTGGACATTTTGACCTGTGCAAAATTATCTCAGGGTGCATAGTAGAAGCCACAAAATTATGTCAGGGTGCAAAATTATCTCAGGGTGCATAGTAGAAGCCAATCTATATGCCCTTGACCAATGTCTGGATTCACTGCAGCTTTGTGTACACCCATCCCCTCCACCTCAGCCAGCCTCACGTCTCTGCTGCCTTCTCTGCCTGCATGCAGGGCAACCTGAAAGTGTTGTGCCCAGGAGGAACCTTCAATTAGTGAGGATGTGGAGCCTGTGCATAGACACCCAGCTCCTGTCACTCAGTGGTGCATGTGATCAGAAAGACTGAAACCTGCTCATGTACACACACTGCCTTTTCTTCCCTGCTTCACTTCCCACTCCCTTGCAGCACTACCTGGGGTCACCACCCAAATAAACTACTTGTACCATGCCCTTGCCTCAGGGCCAGCTTTTGGAGAAATTCAAACTAGGGTTATAAGTATTAAAACCTGAGAGGTTTCCATAACATTCACAAAATTCAGAGCACCTAAAGAGATAAAACAATTTATATGCAGATAAGAAGTGGCTGCCAGATGGCATTGTTTTGTCCGGGCTGGCAAGTTAAAATAAGTAGAAACCAAATACCAAAAACATGAATAGGAAGAAACACTCCCACCTGGTGTTGGTCTCTGTTTGAAGCAGAGGGAAGGTGGAGTTTGGTTCTTAGCAAGGGCAATGCCCCCGAGGCCCTGGTGTCTTCTGATCTCCAATTGTGTTTTTTTCTGGCTGCCCCTTGGTCTGAGTGCCCCTTTTTCTGTCCAAAATGGATGGATATGATCCTGTGCTCATTATTTCCAGAGCAGACAGACTTGCATTTGGTTCCTGTACTACTAAAAGAGTGATGTCAGTCATTCTCTTGTGCCCCAGATCACCTCCTCTGGCCCACCTGTTTACAGTAGCCAGTTTGATGATGGCGTCACTTGGTAGCACCTTCCATCAGGGGCAACACCGATTTCTTGCTTTCTCTCCTGGAGCTTCTCTTTTGCCATATCTTAAGATGCCTTCTGGAAATCATTCAACTTTTCTGAAGCATGGATTAGACACAATCCTAGAAGTTCAAGGTCATGCACACCCTGCAGAGAAATTCTTGACCAAAGGGAGAAGAAGGCTGATGGATAATTTCTCTTGTTGGTCCTTCTGGTGGACAACTTTGAGGTATATTCTATGCATCTTTTCAGAGCGCCCCCTGGAGGATTGAGCCAAAACTGCCTATGATGTTTACCTTGACAACTCCATGTCTTCCAGTAGTTTGGGATGGAAGTGCCCAAAGTAAACTTTCTGCACACACATACCATGCCCAGCTCAGCTTTCTGGGGAACCAAGTACTGCGTAGCCTCACATTCCAGAATGTCAAGCTTCCTCTGTTTCTCCTTTCCCAATGGCTTTTCACAAACCTTCCCAGCGGCTCTTCACACACCTTCCCAGCCCAGTTGCTCTTCTATCTCTGTCATGGTCTCTTCTTGGCTTCCCATGAATGAAAGTGTGAATGTTTGAAAAACTGGAATTTTGCTGCTGATTAGCTACTCTTAAGGAATTAACCATTTGTAAAAACATGAACAAATGCTTAAGACCCTAACTTCTGGACCTTCTTGTTGAATTTCGAGAATTCTGATAAGCTCATTCCTCTGCTAATGGTCCTCCATTAATTTTCACCTTTCCTTGAATATACAGCATTTATAACTGTGGATTCAGATTTGGTGGGTTCACTGACTCAGAAAAATATTTATTAATATTCATGGCACTTGGAAAAGCACTATTAAGAATACAGAGCAGCTGAGGAGAAATTGCTAAAATTTAGGGATAATTTGAAGATGAAATAGGGAAAACGGTACAAATAACCAAAGCAAGTAAAATACAGAATGTAATAAGGTGGCAAGCTTTGACAAGGTGTTATGGTGGAGAGAGAAATCACATACAGTCAAAGCTGTAAGATAGCAGAGCCTTCGTACTGTTTCTCAGTGAGGTAGTGGAGGATGATTCTTCTCCTGGACCACACTGAGACCAGCAGAGGCAATGGCAAAAATGCTCTGATTGGCTAAGGCAGTTTTAAAGGAACATTTTTCAATTAAATTCATGAAACATTTTGGTGACTCTGTACAGTTAAAGCTCCAAAAGTATTTCAACAAGTTTTGGTACTCTGCCATCAAATAGCTTGTTTACTCTTTCCACAATTGAGTTTTTAGAGTTATAAAACATATCTTTTCTGAAGTTGTAATGTCATAATACATGAGTTTTTGAAGCAATCCAACTCTTCATGTTTCCTGGGTATTTCTGCTCGTTTATGAGAACTTCATTGTTATTCATGTGTAGATGGTAGTGTGACCTAGAAAGAACAAAATGTTAAAAATAATGATTACATAATCCATGCCATCCTTAATGAACTATTTATTATTTTTTGAGAGCTACAGATGTTATATTACTGTCTGTTCACATATTAGTTATGACTCACAAACAGGATATTTAAGCAAATTCTGTTTGTTTCTTTAAATTAAAAAGGTTGGTATTAGGGTATGTTAATAACTTTTTTGTTCCTATAAAATGAAGAGCTAAGCTAGCTGAGGTCTAAGACCACCCTAACACAGAGTGTGGTCTGCAAACCAGCAGCATCCATGCCACCTCTGGGCTTTTAGAAATGCAGAATCCTGGGCCCCAGCCCAGAACTACTGTCTCAGAATCTGCATTTAACAAGATGTCCAGTGATTCATAAGGACTTTAAATTTTAAAAGACCTTGAAGTACTATTTTCTACAACTATAATTTTATGAGTTTTAAGAACTAACTTTGGCTTTAATTGCAGTAATACCTGACACACAGGACACTCTTGAGACACCTGGTGACTGAGGTACTTGGGTTTTAGAATATATATGCATATTTTGAAATATTAATTTCTAGTAAAAATTTTCTGCTCCTCCTAAAACAAGCCCAGTTATAGATTTAACGGATCTTTAATTACAATAGTGCTATTTTCATGCACTATGTTTTATATTTGCCCAAATGGTAAATGTCCAAGTAGTGTATTCAGTTATATTCAATAATATTATGAAATTTTATGCTGCTTTTTTAAGAAATTTTTTCTACGCATCAAACTGAGTAAAGAGTGGCATCATTATTCCAGGGTTTGGGAGGGGAACCCAGGCTGATGCACAATTGGTAAAGATGTGAATTGACACAAACTCTTTGGAGGACACATCTATAACTTTTCAGTGGGCATACATTCTGAAAGAAAAGTTTCACTTTAGAAATTTATAGCTACATCCCCATATGTTTATAGAAAAATCTGTACTAGAATGTTCACTGAGCCATTTTACATAAACATGAAAACTGGAAATTACCTGAATGTCTATTAACACTGATAAAGAGATACATTGCTGTCCAAGATATGTAATTAGATTCAGGTACTTATACAGAGTACAAACACACATTTAGATGAGCTATAGACATAGGTGTATGCATAGACAATGCTTGCAAGAATAAATAGCAAGCTTATCACAATGGCTGCCTCTGGGAAATGGCATGGTGAAAAAAATGGAAGACCAACTTTTCAGTTATTTATTGTTTAATTAAAAAATAAATCTATACATTACAAATAATTATTATTTTTCTTTTGAATATCTTCCTGCTAGCCAAAAATTATATACAGCTAGGTTAAAAAGATAGGCTTATAGCCCTGGCTGTTGTGGCTCAGTGGATTGAGTACCAGCCTGTGCATCAAAGGGTTGCCAGTTCAATTCCCAGTCAGGGCACATGCCTGAGTTGCAGGCTGGGTCCCAGTTGGGGGCATGCAAGAGGCAACCACATATTGATGTTTCTCTCCCTCTCTTTCCCTCTCCCTTCCCCTCTCTCTAAAAATAAATAAAATATTTTTAAAAAGGTTTATAAATTTTAGAATGTATGCAAGCTAAATAAATTAAAAATAGAAAAAAATTCAAGAAGAGTTACTCAAGAAAATATTTCTTAGCAATTCTCAGCTGCAGGGTTCTGAGAAATCTGAATTCTGAATTAATAAGTTTTCTATTAGTTTAAGATATTTTAGTATATGAACAACACTTAAACTCACTAAGATATTTTTATCTTTTAAGGCACTTAGTATATTTAAAAAAAATGAATAAATGACCAAACTGTATCAAATATTTGGATATATTTTCAATGTTTACTTCCAAGATTTGAGTGGTATTCTCTATTACTCAACCCCTCAGCTTTCCTCTGTGACTGTATATGTAAACTGTGAAAATCACATCAGAGCCCAAATATGAGACCTACTAAAAATGTCAGCCTGAGGCCTGTTCCCTCCCTCTCTTGTGACTCAGGCCCTGAGGGAAGAGCCTCACTGTTTCTTCCACCATTGAAAAATAGTCACACCTGAGTGGAAGCAGTGAGTTCAGCAAACTGGGCATGTTTACGCTTAGGAAATATTTGCTGGTACTGCTTTCCATATTTGCTATGATTATGAGACAAATTGTATCTCACTGTCCCAAAGTAACAAATAAAATAATATTAAATGAAACATTCATTGTACGAGCAATACCCTACATAGAAAACCAACCTTCCTTCCTTCCTTCCTTCCTTCCTTCCTTCCTTCCTTCCTTCCTTCCTTCCTTCCTTCCTTCCTATTGAGCTATGATATTAGTTTCTGGAGTACAACATAATTGCAGATTTTTCTTTCACAGATAAGCACAAGCCTTCTTGGGGGTCAAGGAAGTGATGAAAGCATAAAATAGTTTCACTTTTTAAAACACTAGCCAGTGCCTATCTCTAGCATAGTGCCCATTAAATTGACAGGTATCTAATACATGACTGTTGATTAAAAATAAATGAACAAGTATATAGTGCAATTTGGGGGAAAACCTTTGATTAGCATTCAAGGGAATCACACTTTATGTTGGAATAAGTTATTAAAACCTTATCTTAAATACAGTACACTTATAGGGCATTTACTATTCCTATTGGATAGGAAGCTACATTAGTTATTGTGGCAGACAAACAGATTACCTTGGGGTGGTGCAATTCATTCTTTTCTAATACTAAATACTTTGTTTTTCTAATTACTTATTTGGAACCCAAATAAGCTCATATATATCCATGTACTAGATAAAATGAGGAGTGAGCTGGCATATTAAAATCTGTGGCTTTCTTCAATAAAACTTAATGAGAAAATCTAATTAATAGTCATAATAGAGAACAATTATTTCCTTTAGAAAGATAATCACATTGATGCATTAAAAGTATTTTACTAGTACTTTTGACTAATACTTAGGGTTGATCAAGCAAAGCCAGGTACCATTACTGTTACTGCAATCCAAAATTGAACATATGAACCAAAGTTTATAATGTGACCAAATGGTTTGATCTAAAAATGTTGAAGTGTTTAATTTTATAAAATTCTGTGGGCTGCAAATTCCTGGCCCTGGCCTGGCTCTTGAAGAACCTGTGGCTTAATGGGAGGAGATAGGGGCATAAATACAGTCACAATATAAAATCAGTGCTACGCTCAGAGGTATGAAAGAACAATATGAATTGACAGTGACAGTAGAGATTTGTTTGGCCTGGAGTCAGCAGGAAAACCTTTACTAAATTGGAGGTATTTTGGTTTGAAACTTGTTTGTAGTTTGTCCAGTAAAGAAAAGAGAACATGAATAAATGAGTAAAGAAATGTCCTGCTTATAAAAAACAGCAAGGGCAAAGGTAAAGAGGAGAAAACACTCACTGTGTGAAAACAGGAAATAGGACACAAATCGTGTATTGTTTATCAATGTCAAGTTATTGACAAGTCATATGGTATCTATGTGTCTTCTTTTAAATGTATTTTCAAATAGAAGAAACAAAACAAATTGCATTTCATTCAGTTAACTTGCTTCTTTCTGACTGAGGAACATGCCTTTCTAATCTGTTATAGAAGGAACAAACAGGTTTGCATTAGTAATTATCCTGTTGCTGTGATAAGTGTGTCCAAAACAGCAATACCAGGTAAAAGAGTGCTAATGCTCAATTGTATTAAACAGCTCCCATTGGGATATTATTCCCAAAGTAAATTTAGGTAAACATTGAAAAACAAACAAACAGTGATTTTTAGAACAAGAGATTCTGAATGACGGCCAATGGGGTACATGGGGAAGTGTACTAAAAATGAGACTGCAGAGATAACGCTGGTGCAGACCAGCTTGAACGTTCTGAGGGACTCTCTTTATTCCTTTCTTCCTTTTTCCTTCCTTCCTTTTTCTTCCCTTCTTTTCCTTTTTTTCCTTCCTTCCTTCCTTCCTTCCTTCCTTCCATTAGCTTCATCAGTAAGTTACCAATTCTATTACTTTGTTTTTCAATTTATCTACTTTTCTTTCTTTTTAGTTCATCAGTTTTGTTTTTATCTTTATTTCCTTACTTTTCCTTGGGTTTATTTTGTTATTATTTTCTAATGTTTGGTCTTTAGTTAATTCACTCTTTTAGTTATATAGGTATATAAGGCTTTGTATTTTTCTGTGCTTTCAGGTTTTAATGTTTATTGTTTTAATTATAATAACTTTCTAGATACTCGACAACTATAATTTGATTACTTCTTTGATCCCAGATATTTTATGGGAGGAAAACTAAAAATTTTCTAGGTACTTGCAGTTTTTCTCTTCAATTTGGTTATTATTTTTTAGGCTTGCTTTGTGTGCACATGTGCACATCTAGAATGTAGTCTGCACTATTTCTACTTTCTTTTCTAATACATGGAAAAATTTTATATATGAGGGGTTAAAATAAAATATTTTATTCTTTATAAGGATGTGCCACTTAATATATTTTTATAACTTCAGGCCAATTTTTGTTTGGAACAAAGTTAAAATTCTTACATATGTATAGCTATTTTTTCTAGCATTTTTATAGTTTATGGTTCTTTTTTGTTATGATGTTTACTGGTTAATATTTTTTGCCATCTTATTATTTAGGTATTTTTTTTGCTGTGAATTAGACTTTTAACCTTTATGTGTTTTGTCTCTTTTAAGCTTCTCTTCTCTGATAACATACCCTCAACTGTATATTAATATTTTACTGGTCTGGATTTGTTTATTCTTTAAAAGTTTGCCCTTTTAGTATTCCTTTATTTTATATTTCTGTGTTTTATACAATATATATTTGTTGCTATTTACTCAATCCAGGATAGTGTTTTTATTCATTTTAATTTTGACATTTTCTAGAGATATTTTTAGTTTTATTTCTGTTATATTGATATTTTTTCTGCTTTCAATATTATGAATTCAATTCAACCAGACTTTAAATCTGTAAACTAATATTCACTTTACTAGAATTTTTTTAGATTTGGACTTTTGGGAAAAATTATTTAGATACT